GAGAAAAGCATAATTAGCCTACAATCCACAAACTCAGAGAAGCTAGGAAGCAAGGAGGACCCTACGAGATACACACATGAACTCCCAAGAAAGGCTCAAGATCTTCTGAGTTAAATTGGAGTATGGGGGAAGGGAAGGGAGGTAGGAAAAACAGGAGGAGAAAAGCGAGTGGGGAGAACATGAGGCATGAGGAAGGTCAAGTTGGAGGAAGGACAGAGGAGAGCAAGAAAAGAGATACCTTAATAGAAGGAGCCATTATGGGTTTAACAAGAAATCTGGCACTAGGGAAATGTCCAGGGATCCACACGGATGATCCCAAATAAAAGTCTAAGCAATAGTGGGGAGGGTACCTTAAATGCTCTTCCTCAATAATAAGATTGATAACTACCTTAAATGCTACCATGGAGTCTTCATCCAGTAGCTGATGGAAGCAGAAGCAGAAATTCACACCTAAACAGTGAGCCAAACTCATGGAATCAATTGTAGAGAGGGAGGAGTGATATGCAAAGGTGTGAAGACCATGCTGGGGAAACCCACAGAAGTAGCAGACCTGAGCAAGTGGGAGCTCATGGACCCCAGTCTGGTAGCTGGGGAAGCAGCATAAGTCTGAACCAGGCCCCCTGAATGTGGGTGTCAGTTGGGTGGCTTGGGCAGTCTATGGGGCCTCTAGCAGTGGAACCCTATTGTAAGACTGAGCTTTGGGAGCCCATTCCCTATGGAGGGATACTCTCTCTGCCTAGATACATGGGAGAGGCCATAGGTTCTGTCCCAAATGATGTGTCAGACTATGATGATCCCCTATGGGAGGCCTCACCCTACCTGAGGAGTGGATGTGTGGTCAGTTGGGGTTGGTGGAGGCTTTAGGAATGCAGGAGGGAGAGGGAACTGGGATTCATATGTAAAATAAGATTTTTATATTTAAATAAAAGTTAATTATAACAAAGCTGTATTATGGGTTGATAGACTTCAGTTACAAAAACATTCAGCATGAAGTGGAACTATAGGAGCCAAAAAACAAAGTTAGTGCATTCAGAGACTTTCCCAGAACTTATCTTTGATGGATTAGGCCATTGTTTTCATTTTGGCATGTGGTACTGTCTATGTGCTGAGTTTTATGGTCTAAATGGTACTGGAATTAAAGTCGGTCATGCCAAGGTTTGGGGCCTATTACAGTTATGGCTGCTCCCTTCATGCTTATTGTGTCTGTTACCAGGCAAAATCACACAGTGTCTGACCACATATTGGTGATAATTCCAACGCAAAAAACAGAGTCCCCTTTTTAAAAAATATTTTAAATTTTCATACATAATTGGGTGAGATTCACCATCTTTCCCATCGTCTCCTAGATCTGATTTTTATTCCAAACACATCCAGTTTTATGTCCTCAGTTATGTTGTTTGTTTTTTTTTTTAACACATAGGATTCTATTAGTGCTGTGTATATAGGCTAGGTTGTATTACACTTACAGGGGCTACACATTTAAAGAAAGTTTTCCCTCTTCCAGAAGCTATCAGTTACTAATGGCTTCTTATCTAGGGGTGGGGCTTTATACTCATTTTGCACACCTCTGTCATTCTTGCCTTGTGCTCTTGTTGTTACTTGCTTTAGATCTTGAGGGAGAATGTTTGTAATTCTCAAGTACATACTTGCATTTTGCCACCTTTGCATATAGTTTTGTATAAAGTCTGTATCTTTTCTTTGGACTCAAAGGGAGATTGTAGTGAGGGATATTACTAGGCACCTGAAGCACTGACTACGCCCATTTTTTAAATATTATGACATAAAGCACATAACTGGTATACTACGCAATCCTACAGGACAAGCAGTGGTTGAGAGGTCTAATCACGCTTTAACAAAATGCTCTATAAACAGGGAGGGAGAACAAAGACCCCCAAGCACAGATTGCATAATGCTTTATTAACACTAAACTTTCTTAGTGCTAATGAAAAAGGAAAAACAGTTGCAGAAAGCCACTGGACAACAGAAAAAACTTCTGAACTAAATCAGCCAGTGTACTTCAAGGATGTATTGGCCTCAGTATGGAAACCAGGATATGTGTTACATTGGGGTAGGAGTTTTGCCCTTGTTTCCACAGGAGATGAAAAACTTTGGATGCCCTCAAAGTTGTTCAAGATTTGGTTTGAACAGGAGAGACCTCTTGATGAGGAAAAATGACAGTTCATCCATCAAGATATATCCCACGAGTTGCATGGAGACCTCACAAAGGAAAGGGGAATGCTTTGTTCTTGCATTAACAGGAAAACCCATCTCCAAAAGTAAAAAGATACTGAATGTGTAGATGCCTAAAGAAGAGAGGATAGCTATCCAAAAAGAGCCATCAAGCAAAGGAGAATCTGACTTGTGGTAAAGCCCAGAACTATTTCTACACAAAAACCTACTTCTCTTTACTTCCTACCACTGATTTAGTCCCAATTCACTCAAACCAATGCTGACTTTAGAGTTGTATTTGGCTTCTCTCCTCTAATTCCAAGCATGTTGTAAATACATATATGATACAGAGCCAATTGATGTAAGACAGAAGAAAATAAAATCTAGTGACTGTCATTTGTCTAAACTCGGTTCTTTCTCTGAAAGATTAATTTTCCTCTTATTTATTATCTTCCTTATTGCTGCCTTTCCCAGTATGCATACCTATAAAAGTTAAAATTTCTGTGTTGATATTAATGTTTAAGTCCTCCACAGCGAACAAAGAATTTCCTAACAGCAGTCTTTCTCCTTTGCAGATCTTAATATTCTTTCTTTATTTTGTATGTTTCTTGTTTTAATTATTATATGGCAAGGGGACCTTTTGTTTGGTGCAGTGTATTTGGTGTTCTGTGTGCTCCTTTTATTTTCATAGATATGTCCTTCTGTAGGTTGGGGAAATTTTCTACGATTTTGTTTAATATATTTTCTGTACCTTTGAGTTTGGGTTATTTTCCTTCCTCTATCCCATTCATTCTTAGATTTGTTCTTTTTGTTGTGTCCCAGATTTCCTCCAGGTTTTGTATGAAGGATTTGTTGGGTTTAATTTTTTCTATGATCAATTAATCTATTTCCTTCAAATTATCTTCAATGCCTGAAATTCTCTCTTCCATATCTTGTATTTTGTTCTTTATGCTTACATTTGTTGTTCCTGATATTTATCCAGATTTTCTATTTCCAAAGTTCCCTTGGTTTGTATTTTTGTTATTGCCTCTATTTCAAATTTCATGTCTTGAATCATTTCCTTTACTTGTGTGATTGCTTTTTCTTGGATTTCTTTAAGGTGTTTGTTGATATGTTCCTATTCTTTGTCTTTTCCTTGTTTTCTTTGAGAGTATTTTTCATTTTCCCTTGAATGGGCTCAATTATTCTCGTAAAATTAGTTTTTACATGCTATTCTTCTGCTTGATCTGTGTCTTGCTGCTGTAGCACCACTAGTTTCCAGTGGTGCCATACTGCTCTTTATATTGTGGAGAATATTCTTACCTTGTTGTCTGTGCATCTCTTCCTCTAATCAGGTCAGGTTCAACTTGTGCTTCAGTGGTTCTCTCTTTCTCCAATTGGTGTGCCTGGGGGCTGTGACTCTGTTGACCACTCCTTTAGGCAGAAGTAGAGTAGAACTTCCACTGAAAGCTCATCCTGGTGAAAGTGAGACCAATGCTCAAGTGGTCACTCCTTTATGAGCAGTTAGGGCTACAGCTCTGGTGGATACTCCTCCCATTGAAGGAGTAGATAAGGCTGAGAATCCAGTGGTCAATGTAGTAGCAGAGTGTCTCCCACCTGTGAAATGGCAGTGGATGCTGGCTGGGACACAGGTGCTCTTTCCCAGAGGAATTTTTGCGATAGTTTTTGGAAGCTGCTTCTGGAAACCACTGCTGTCCTTTCACCCAGTGATCATTCCTTTCTCCTGGGCCTGAGGCTGTGCCTCCCTCTAACATTGCTCCTAGGTCTGGGGCTCCTGGCTCCCTTGATGCTGCTTGGAGCCTGAAGTTCAAACCTCCCTCTGATGCTGCTCCTGATTCTGAGGCTCATGGCTCCATTGATGCTGTTCTGTGTCTGAAGTTCAGGCCTCCTTTTGACGCTGCTGCTCCAGGCCTGAAGCTCTGGCCCTGAGACTCTGTCCTCCCTCTGATGCTGTTTGTGACCTTACACTCAAACCTACCTCTGACACTGCCCCTAGGTCTGAGGCTCCTGGCTCCCTTGATACTCCACTGGGCGTGAAGCCCCGGTGTCCCTCTGACAGTGCTAGGGACCTCCTTTATACTGAATGTTTTGTATTTTGATTATTATGTAGTGAGGGGACAGTTTTTTTGAGCCAGTCAATTTGGTGTTCTGTAAACTTCTTGTACTTTCATAGGCATGTCATTCTTTAGGCTGGGAAAGTTTTCTTCTATAATTTTGTTGAATATGTTTTCTGTACATTTGAGCTGGGTTCGTTTGCCTTCTTGTCTACCTATTTAGTCTTTTCCTAGTATCTCACACTTCCTGGATATTTTGTGTTAAAGATTTATTGGATTTATCTATTTCTTTGGACAATGGATCTATTTCCTCTAGAGTATCTTCAACACCTGTGATTCTCTCTTCCATCTCTTGTATTCTGTTGGTTATGCTTGCATCTGTAGTTCCTGATCATTTACCCAGATTTTCTTATTCCAGCATTCCCTCAGTTTGCATTTCCTTTAATGCCTCTATTGTTTCTTTCACCTTTTTTATTGTTTTTCCCCCCTAGGGTTTCCTTGTTTTCTTTAAGAGATTAGTTTTTTCAATTTTTATTTGGTTTGTCTTTTTTTCATTTCCTCCATTTATTGTTTGTCCTTTCTTCCATTTTTAGGAGATTTTCTCATATCCCCTTTAAGGACCTCTCTTATCTTCATAAAGTTGTTTTTAAGGTCTTTTTCATGAGCTTCTTCTGCATTGGGATGTCAGGTCTTGCTGGTGTAGAACCTCTAGAACCTAGTGGTGTCATAGTACTCTTTTTGTTGTTGAATGTGTTCTTATACTGCTGTCTTCCTTCTCTTCTTCCAGTGGGTGAAGGTGGCACCTCTCCCAGTGGGTGAGGGCCAAGGCTTCAATGACTGCAGCTCTCCCAGTGGGTGTGGGGCTGCCCCCAGGTCTCTGTGGATTCTTTGGGTGTGATGGGGCTACATGTCCCAGTCAAGAGCCTCCAAAGAGGGTTGTAAGGAGGCCAGGAAAAGGCTCAGTTCTCATGTCTTTAGGTGGGCAAAGGGCCAAGTCTCCAGTGGAGGCAGATGCTGGATGATTTGAATGTCTCTGGGGATTTGGTGGCTGGGACCAAATATTGCTTTTGTTCTTTTTGTTTTTAATTTTTAATTTAAATTAGAAACAAGCTTGCTTCACATGTCAATTCCAATTCCCTCTCCCTCTCCTCTTCCCTTGCTCCTCCAACAGGCCCCAGTCCCCAACCAATCCCCACACCATTCCCTAGCGAGGGTTAGGCCCTCCACGGGGCATCTCCAGAGTATGTCATTTCATCCAGGGCAGGGCCTAGGCCATCCCCCATGTGTCCAAGCTGAGAGAGCATCCCTCTATGTGGAATGGGCTCCCAAAGTTCTTTCTGACACTATGGTAAATATTGATCTACTACCCAAGGCACTAGAGATTGCCAAGGCCTCCTCACTGACACCACATTCAGGGGGTCTGGGTCAGTCCCATGCTGGCCTCTCAACAATCAGTCTGGGGTTCAAGAGCTCAACATTGTTCAGGTCAGCTGTCTCTGTGGGTTTCACCAGCTTGGTCTTGACCACTTTGCTCATCACTTCTCCCTTTCTGTCACTGGGTTCCAGGAGTTCAGTTCAGTGTTTACCTTTGTGTGTCTGTCTCTGCTTCCCTCAATTGCTGGATAAAGATTTGGCAGTGGGATTGTAGGCTGGAACTTATCTGACCCAAGTCTAAAATCTATATATGAGTGAGTACATACCATGTTTGTCTTTTTGTGACTGGGTTACCTCACTCAGGATGGTTTCTTCTAGTGTCATTTAGTTGCCTGCAAATTTCAAGATAACATTGTTTTTTTTCTGCTGAGTATTACTTCATTGTGTATATGTACCACATTTTCTCTATCCACTCTTCAGTTGAGGGGCATCTAGGTTGCTTCCAGGATCTGGCTATTACAAGTAATACTGCTATGAACATAGTGGAACAGACATCCTTGTATGAATGTGCATCTTTTAGTTATATGCCTAAGAGTGGAATTGCTGAGTCTTGTGGTAGATTGATTCCCATTTTCCTGAGGAATCTCCATAGTGACTTGCAAAGTGGCTGTACAAGTTGATACTCCCACCAGCAGTGGAGGAGTGTTCCCCTCTCTCCACATCCTCTCCAGCATAAACTGTCGTTGGTGTTTTTGATTTTAGCCATTCTGACAGGAGTAAGATGGTATCTCAGAGTTGTTTTGATTTGCATTTCCCTGATGGCTAGGGATGTTGAGCTCTATCTCAAGTGCCTCTCAGCCATTTTAGCCTCCTCTATTTAGAATTCTCTATTTAGTTCTGCACCCCACTTTTTTATTTTTAAATTTAAATTTAAATTAGAAACAAGGTTGCTTCACATGTCAATTCCAGTTCCCTCTCCCTTTCCATCTCCTCCTCTCACACCCTCCCACCAACCCCTCCAATATCCCCTCATTTCCCCAGGGAGGGTGAGGCCCTCCATGGGGCTGTTGATAGTCTATCATTTCATCCAGGGCAGGGCTTAGACCCTCCCCTGAGAGTCCAGGGTGAGAGTGCATCTCTCATTGTTGGATGGGCACCCAAAGCCCATTTGTATACCCAGGATAAATACTGATCTACTACCCAAGGCTCAATAGATTACCTAGGCCTCCTCACTGACACCCATGTTCAGGAAGTCTTGGTCAGTCCCATGCTGGATTCCCAGCCATCAGTCTGGGAGTCAAGAACTAACCCTTGTCAGATCAGTTGTTTCTGGGGGTTAAACCAGCCCAGTTTTAATGCCTTTAGTCATCAGTCCTCCCTCTTTGTTCCTGGATTCCTTGAGTTCAGCTGAGTATTTAGCTGTGGATGTTTGCCTCTGGTTCCATCAGCCAATGGATTTTAGACACAGATCTGGGGAGTGCCAGCCTACAATCCCATGGCCAGAGAATCTGGGAAACAGAACCCTCATTCATTGGCTGATGTACCCCACTTTTTAATTGCATCCTTTGGTGTTTTGGAGACTTGCTTCTTGAGTTCTTTGTAAATTTTGGAGATCAGCCCTCTATCAGATGTGGGGTTAGTGAATATCTTTTCCCTCTCTGTGGGCAGCCTTTTGGCTTGTTGACTGTGTCCTTTGCCTTGTAGTAGCTTCTCAGTTTCAGGAGGTCCCATTTATTAATTGTCGATGTCAGTTTCTGTGCTAATTGTGTTATATTCAGGAAGTGGTCTCCTGTACCAATTCATTCAAGGGTATCTCCCACTTTGTCTTCTAAGAGGTTCAGTGTGGCTGGGTTTATGTTGAGGTCTTTGATCCACTTGGACTTAGGTTTTGTGCATGGCAATAGACATGGATCTATTTGCAGTCTTCTACATGCCAGCATCCAGTTATGCCAGCACCATTTTTTGAAGATGCTTTCTTTTTTCCATTTTATATTTTTAGCTTCTTTGTCGAAGATCAGATGTTCATACATGTGTGGGTTAATATCAGGGTTTTCAATTCGAATCCCTTGGTCTACCTGTCTATTTTTGTGCCAATACCAAGCTGTTTTCAGGAATATAGCTCTATAATAGAACTTGAAGTCAGAGAAGGTAATGCCTCCAGATGCTGCTTTGTTGAACAGGGTTGTTTTAGCTATTCTGAGTCTTTTGTTTTACATATAAAGTTGAGACGTGTTCTTTCAAGGTCTGTGAAGAATTGTGCTGGGATTTTGATGGGGATTGCATTGAGTCTGTACACTGATTTTGTCAAGATTGCCATTTTTACTACATTGATCTTTCCTATCCAAGAGCATTGGAGATTCTTCCATTTTCTGATGTCTTCTTTAATTTCTTTCTATAAAAGACTCAAAGTTCTTGTGATACAGGTCTTTCACTTGTTTGGTGAGTGTTACCCCGAGGTATTTTATGTTGTTTGTGGTAATTTATTTGGGTAACAATTCATTGTATACTTTGTTGTACATAATGAAGGTAACAATGACATTGGGTTATTGAAATTATCTTGGCTCCCTGTGCAGCTATTTTTTGTAATCTTTGGGCAGGATTACAAAACTTTAGCAAACTTTTCTGACTTCTATGTTAATACAGTGCATACATAATTATTAACTAGGTTCATGGTCCCTTGACTGTCAGTGATTATGATAAGTATAGTGCCATAGTTCACAGTTAAGAATTTGTGATGAATATAATTGAACTTTATGCAGGGAAGGGGATATCATGCATGAAACGTGGAGTAAGTCATTAATATCTTCTTTGGCTCAGGCATTTTATTACTTGGTACTCACTTGGTGGTGCTGTTTGGGGAGAAGTTGGGTTATACCTAACTATAGACTATTGTGCTTATCCAGTTTTACATCTGCAGTGGTAGGACTAGGAGAATTCAAATTCCTTTCTTTAAGAATCTATGGTAAATCAAGGGGAGTACTTATGCCATTGAGATAGTCAGTTTTATTTCTAATTTCTTCTGGCTAGGAGCTGTGAGACACGAATAGTTCTTTCTGTCCAGTCACCTTTAGTTCATGGTTGAACTACACAACACTGAGAACCACAGAATATTCTTTAGCTGAAAACTTAATATATATTTTCTTATTCAAGATGTGTTCCTGATAGCTATGTTTTGTTATCTTGGTTTTATAAAGGCCCAAATATTGAAATAAAGAGGTATAAGGCTTACATTGTTGAACAAAGTAAGTCCAAATGTTTAATATAACAAAGAATTATTTAAAATATTCATGAGCATAGTAGTGCACAAATGCATTTATAGCCATTGGGAAAATGTAACAGAAGAATTGTCAGTTTGAGGTCAACCTAAGATACATAGTAAGACTTTGCTAAAAAGAAATATATTTCATAAAATATACAAACTCTTCATAAGTCATAATCTCATCCCTGGTCACTAACCTGAGAATATAAATGTTGAGTGGTTTTCTTAAATCTCACAATTAGTCCATTGATTCTCAAGAGTAGATGCACATTATAAATGCATTTGTTTATTTTTTATTAGAACTATTTGGACAATAATCAGTACTGTTAAACCAGATATTCACATGGGTACCCTGTAAAGAAGTACAAGTGTAAAGAACATCTTATTTTTATATTTACCAAAAGGACAAAGTCTACTTGAGAGAGAGATTAAAGTTTATGTAATTGGTTAGTCAATGATGTTTCAAGAGGAACTTTTTGACCCAGCAGATAGTGTTATAAAAGCTCCATGCTGACTGATCACAGCTGTGTCAGTGAAAGGATCTCCATGGATGCATTTGTGGTGTTGGTGTTTATTCTCTCCTGTCTGTTTCTCCTCTCACTCTGGAGACAGAGCTCTGAGAGAGGGAAGCTCCCTCCTGGCCCTACTCCTCTCCCACTTATTGGCAATTTCTTCCAAATAGATGTGAAAGACATCAGCGGATCCTTAACCAATGTAAGTATTCTTTGTGCTCCTCCTATAGGTTGATAAAGAAGATACATTGAAAGCTTCTTTTAATGAAAATCCAATATCAAAACCCTTTCAAAGTATTGACTTTTATAGCTGGCCTTTGTAGGAATTCAGTAAAGGGAGAGGTTTCAGGTGAAAGGATATTTACATCATTGCATTTTATAAAAAAAGAAAAAAGTCCCATAAAATTGCAAAATATGTGGTTATTTCCTAATTAAAATACATCTTTTCCCATTATTTTTGGTTGAAAGTCAACAGTGAGTAATAGTTTATTTAATAAGTCAGGTAGAGTTTTAGATATCCATTTTACTGAGGTTATCTATTTGATGCTGGACTCTAAAAGAACTAACTAAATGCCTAACTTATCTAAATGTCTATAGCCATGGAATAACACAAGAACTTCAAGAAAGAAGTCAAGCTTCTGGCATATTTGGTGATATATCCATTTTAATAACTGTAATACCTATGTCTTGAGCTAAGAATGCTTCCAGAGAAGGAATTGTTTTTCCAGGAAATATTTCATAATCATGTGCAGTGTGTGTGGTGCCAACTCTCTATGTTTGTAGTAGTATATTGCCAAATCTAGACTGCTCAACAGAATCATTTGTGCTGATTTACAAATTTTCATCTCACATCTAAGTGGGCCTGACATTGTTGCTTTATTTCGGTATCATTTCATCTGTTTCTTTGGTCTACTTGTCTATTTTTTGTTAGTACCAGACTGCCTATATCACCATATCTCCTTAATATAATTTGAGGTTAGATATTGTCATACCTTGAACAGAATTTTAGTTCTTACGAGTCCCTTGGCTACTCTTAGTTTTTTTTTTTTTTTGTTTTTGTTTTTTACGAGACAGGGTTTCTCTGTATTGTTTCGGAGGCTATCGGTCCAGCCCGGCCTCGAACTCACAGAGATCCGCCTGCCTCTGCCTCCCGAGTGCTGGGATTAAAGGCGTGCGCCACCACCGCCCGGCCTACTCTTGGTTCTTTGTGGTCCCATCTGATGTCTTCTGTTGTTTCTCTAAACTGTAAATATGGCATCAGGAGTCGGATGCATAGCAGTCAATCTATAAATACAGACGAATGGGTTTAGTAGTAAGGGTGTTTCGTTCCTTGGTTTCTGCTTCTTCTCTGGTCTTTTGGCTAGAGTGTTTGAGTAGAGCGTCTCCACACCTATGTGCTGGATTTCCACATGTCAGAGTGGAGTGGCCTTTGTTCAAACAGGGCATTTATGCCCAATCTGGGGGACTGGAACATGTGGGAAAGACAGGAGGGTTGATTGTGTGTAGGATGGGCAGGCACTGAGAGAGTGGGGCAGGTAGATGGCCTTCATGGATTTTTGGCGGTCAGCTTCTCGCTGGCTGTTTTGATGTGAACATTCCTTGCAATTTTTGTGTAATAAGTATGTGAGTCTTCAGCAGTTACATGGTTCACTGTAGGTGATCAATAACTGATAATCAACATAATGTGATACAAACGTGCTTCAGAAGCCGATTTTTGCCTGAATAACAATATTAAAGTACAGTGAGTGATAATTTTATTGTGAATAAGGTTGAGTATATGGTGATCATACTGACTTTTTTCACTAATATTTACAATTTTCTTTCCTATTTCCAGTTCTCAAAAGTCTATGGCCCTGTGTTCACCCTATACTTGGGCAGGAAGCCCGCTGTGGTGTTGCATGGGTATGAAGCAGTGAAGGAGGCTCTGATCGACCATGGGGAGGAGTTTGCTGGAAGAGGAAGCTTCCCAATGGCAGAAAGATATAATAAAGGCCTTGGTAAGTAAGTGTTCATGTGAGTGCTGCATAGTGATTACTGTGAAAGTGACGACTGAAAGGAGGGGCTGGGCTTCTTCCTTTGGTACAGGTTGGACCTCTCTGTGGTTTCCACATACAAGATCTCTCATCTGTTCCCAGAATCTATTTCTAGTGTTTTACTATTTCTTCAGGCATTGTTTTTAGCAATGGAAACAGATGGAAAGACATAAGGCGCTTCTCACTCATGGCTCTGCGGAGTCTGGGCATGGGCAAAAGGAGCATTGAGGACCGTGTACAAGAGGAAGCACAGTGTCTTGTGGAGGAACTGAGGAAAACCAATGGTAAGTGCAGGTTTATACATTTACATCTCAGTTAGGCATTTGTGTATGCCATGTTTTAAAATCAGAAACAATGATTATAGGTTTCATGATAATTGTCTGTTGAGCTGCAGAACTAAGCATTTTCATTAACAAGGGAGTAATTTGTCTTTGTAGTTCATTTCACCATGGAATAAGTGATTGTGTTAATGGTGACAGAGCCCAATCAGAGGATATGTGATTACATTTTCTTGCATCACAGTGGTTTGAGCAAATTAACTGTGCAACACAGGGGTTCTTCTAGGCCCATGTTTACAGTCCGGGGTAACAATGATGTTACTTATGATTTTCCTTTCTTAGTTGAGTGTAATAAAATTTTCATCAATGGCTGTCTTTTTCTTTTTTTTCATTTTCAAGTATGTATTTATTTTGCTACTACTAATCAGTCATCACAGATTACATATTTACATTATGCTAATGCCTAAACTGTTTTTCTATGAAGACATCTGTACTGTACTTGCAGAAGTGCCCAACTATTTACTACAAAGTGGTTAAGTACATGCTTACTACTAAGACAGACAGAGATGTGTAACCTTGAGCAAGTATCTTCTAATACTCTAAGTTCTCCTTCATAGGCCACATCAATGGCTGTCTTCTATAGTGTGATATCAAGTTGTATAGTTATTTGTTTAAAAATTTTTACTATGTTGAAAATGTTACAAAATGTGTTTTCATCGTGATCCCCCACCAACTCTTCTGAGATATACCCTCAGTTTCCTATCTGTCCTACTTTGTTTAGTCTCCTTATTTAATATCCACGAAACCTGATTTGTGCTTGACATATATGATTTTTAAAGAAAATCCGTTAGAGCTTTCACAATTTTGAACTTGTTTAAAATGATTTATTTGAAATAGAATTACTTAATTCCTTCCTTTTCCCATTCTACTCCCTTCCAGATCTTTCCCTTGTCCCCTTTTCATTCTTGTTAGTCACTTTTCTTTGATTATTATTGTATATATGCATGTACATAGTCACATATGTATACAACTTGCACCCTGCCCAGCATATGAAGTCATATAACTGTCATCCACATTGAGAGGGTCTAGTTCTGTCCCATGCAGGTTCCTAAGCTGTGAGTTCACAGTGGGTGAGCTCCCACTAGTTCAGGTCAGCTATCTCTGGTTTTCCACATCATGGTCTTGGCTGCCCCCCTTGTTTATATGATTCCTCCTCCCTCTCTTCATCTGAACTTCAGGAGCTCAGCCCAGTGCTTGGCTGTGAATCACTGCATCTGCTTCTACCAGTTACTGGATGTAGGTTCTATGATGATAATTAGAGTAGTCACTAATCTGACTAAAGGGGAAGGCCCCTTCAGGCACCCTCTACACTATTGCTAGGAGTTTTAGCTAGGGTCATCCTTGTGGATTCCTGAGAATTTCTCTAGCATCAGGTTTCTTCGTAACCCCATAATGGCACCCTCTATCAAGATATCTCACCCTCTGTCTCTCCCCCAGCTCTGTCTTCTTGATCCTGATGTTCCCATTCCCCCATCCCTTATCTTCTACCAGCCTTCACAGTCTACCCAGGAGATCTTAACTATTTTCCCTTCCTGGTGTCCTCCATGTGTGCCCCTTTTAGGGTCCCTGTTTTACCTACCTTCTTTGAGGTTGTGGACTGTAGTCTGGTTATCCTTTCCATTACATTTAATATCCACTTATGAGTGAGTTCATGCCATGTTTGGCTGTCTGGGTCTGGGTTACTTCACTCAGGATTTTTTTCTGGTTCCATCCATTTTCCTGAAAATTTCAAGATGTCATTGTTTTTTAACAGCTGCATAATACTCTATTGTGTATGTCATTGTTTTTTAACAGCTGAGTAATACTCCACTGTGTAAATGTACCACATTTTCTTTATCCATTGTTTGGGTGTGGGGCATCTAGCTGTTACAAGTGATGCTGCTATGAACAAAGTTGCACACATGTCTTGTGGTATGATTGTGCATCCTTTTGGTATATACCCAAGGGTGGCATTGGTGAGTCTTGAGATAGATTGATTCCCAATTTTCTGAGAAAGCCATACTGATTTCCAAAGTGGCTTACAAGTTTGCACCCCACCATTAGTGTTTTTGATCTTAGCCATTCTGATAGTTGTAAGATGGTATCTCAGAATTGTTTTGATTTGTATTTCTCTGATGGCTATGAATGTGGAGCAATTCCTTAAATATATTTTGATCATTTCAGTTTCTTATGTTGAGAATTCTCTGTTTATGTCTGTACTTGATTTTTTAATTGGATTATTTTATGTTTTGGTGTCTAGTTTCTTGTGTTCTTTGTATATTTTGGAGTTCAGTCCTATATCAGATGTGGAGTTGGTGAAGATATTTTCCCATTCTTTAGGCTTCTGTTTAGTCTTGTTGATCATGCCTTTTGCTTCAGAGAAGCTTCTCAGTTTCAGGAGGTCCCATTTATAAATTGGTGCTCTCACAGTCTGTGCTACTGCTGTTATATTTAGGAAGTGGTCTCCTCTGCTCATGTGTTCAGGGCTACTTCCCACTTTCTCTTTTCTCTGGTTCAGTGTAACTGGATTTATGTTGAGGTCTTTGATTCACTTGGAGGTGAGTTTTGTGCATGATAATAGATAGGCATCTATTTGCATTCTTCGACATGTCAACAACCAGTTATCCTAGAAAAATTTTTGAAATTGTTTTCTTTCTTTCCATTGTACATATTGGTTTCTTTGTAAAAAAAAACAAACAGATGTTCATAGGTGTGTTAATTAATGTCAGAGTCTTTGATTCAATTTCCTTGATCCCCGTGTCTGTTTTAATGCTAATACCAAGATGTTTTTATTACTGTAGCTCTATAGTAGAGCTTGAGGTCAGGGACAGTGACTCTGTGTTTTTTGTTTTTCCATAAGAAGTTGAATATTGTTATTTCAAGGTCTGTGAAGAATTGTTTGGGATTTTAATGGGGGTTGCATTCATTGAATGTGCAGATTCCTTTTGGTAAGATTGCCATTTTTACTATATATATATCCTAACTCTCCAAGAGTATGACAGGTCTTTTAATTATCTGATATCTTCTTCAATTTCTTTTTCAAATACTTAAAGCTCTTGTTATACTGTTTTCTCACTTGTTTAGTTACCATTACCCCAAGATATTTCTTGTTATTTGTGGCTATTGTGAAAAGCGATATTTCTGATTTGTTTCTCATCCCTTTTATCATTTCAACATAGGAGGGCAACTGATTTTTATTTTGTTAATCTTGTATCCTGCCACATTACTGAATGTTTTTATCAGCTGTAGGAGTTTCATGGTACAGCAGTTGGCGTCACATAGGTATACTATCATATCATCTGTCAAAAGTGGAACTTTGACTTCTTTCCTTCTAATGTGTATCCCCTTGATTTCCTTTTGTTTCATTATTTCTTTAGATAGAACTTTGAGTACTATATTGAATAGATATGGAGAGAGTGGACAGTCACTTCTTGGTCCTGATTTTAGTGGGATTGCTTTGAGTTTCTCTACATTTACTTTGATATTGCAGTCGACTTGCTGTATATTGCATTTATTAAGTTTATGTATGTTTCTTGTATTCATGATCTCTCCAAGACCTCTATTGTACCTTTATCTTTTGTAGCTTTGGTATTTGTCATCATCTACTGTAAGCAAAAGGTTCTCTGATGGTGGTGGAGATATGTCTTGTACATCTGGCTTTCTTCTGGATTATGTTGAACTGACTCAATGTCTTTAGAGAGCTAAGTAGTGTCAGTAGCTTCCTGACTATTGCACCTACCTCCTCTCTCTTTACTGTAATTCGGTCTGGCTTAAACTTACATGGGTTTTGTAAATGTTGTCACAACTGCTGTAAAGTGACATGTGCAGCTTCATTGCTGTGATCATGACACACTGTTTACTACCTCTGCCTTTTTATGGCCCGTCTTTCATAATGATCCCTAAGCATTAGGAAGAAGCAGTGAGATATAGATGTCCCATTTGTGGTTGACCATATGGCTTTTTGCTCTGTGCTTGAGTAGCTGTGGATCTCTGTGTTAATAATCATCTACCACATTAGCAGTTATTGTGATGTGAATTGAGAGATGCATTAATCAACAGGCATCATGACATTGTTTGGAGTTGATTAATATGATGCCCACTTAGCAGAGGAACAGTACTACATTCTACCCCAAGGTTGATTATATGTATAGGCACAAGATTTTGGCCTGATAATGGTGCCAAGTATGGATTTATTTTATGGAACAGGCCTTAAACTGAAAATGAGTGCTGCTTGTAACTTCCATGATACTCATGCTACTATGGCACCAGTTGATATGTCTTGCCAGGCAAGTCATTATTGTAACTTGCACAGTTTAGAGCTGGGTAATATTGATTGTTATTTTTTTCCTCTAGTAGCCACATAGCACATTCCAGCAATGTGAGAGCTAGTGTATCTAAAATTTTTGAGAAATATCATATTAATAACTCAATGATTCATCTAAAAATCTTCAAAAATGAACAAATAATATCATAAAAAGTAGATAGGAAGAAGACTGAGTGTGTTTGTGCATGCTCTTAATCCTAGTACTCAGGAGTCAGAGACAGGTAGATATCAGTGAGTTCAAGGCCATTCTGGTATACAGAGGCAGACACCCAAAGCTAAACACGGAACTGAACTTCTGGAATCCACTTGCAGAGAGGGAGGAGTGATGAGCAAAAGGGATCAGGCCCGGAAACTCACAGAAACAGCTGGCCTGAGCAAGGGGAGTTCATGGACTCAAGACTGGTGACTCAGAGGCCAGCATGGGACTGATCCAGACCCCCTGAACATGGATGTCAGTGAGAAGGCCTTGGAAATCTATGGGGCCTCGGATAATAGATCAGTATTTATCCCTGGTGTACAAATGAATTTTGGGAGTCCATTACACATGGAGGGATGCTCACTCAACCTGGACACATGGGGGAGGGCCTAGGCCCCACCTGGGATGATATGACAGACTTTGAAGACCTCCCATGGAAGGCCTTACTCTACCAGGGGAGCAGAGGGGTGATGGAGCTGGAGATTAGGAGGTTGGGGGACCTGGGGAGGAGTGGAGGGAGGGGGAGAGGGAGCTGGGATTGGCATGTCAAACAAGCTTTTTCCTAATTTCAATAAACAATTGTCAACAAAAAACCAATCAGGAAGAAATAACAATCAAGGCTGAAGTAAATTAACAATGTAAAAATTCACAAAAAATTTAATGTTATTTCTGCAATTGTTTCTAATTCTTTAGGGTCACCCTGTGATCCCACGTTCATCCTGAGCTGTGCTCCCTGCAATGTGATCTGCTCCATTATTTTCCAGAATCGTTTTGATTATACAGATCAGGATTTTCTTACCTTTATGGAAAAAGTAAATGAGAATGTCAGGATTCTGAGCTCTCCCTGGTTGCAGGTGAAGTAAAGATTTTTTCCTTCTGTAGTCTTTCATTCTTACAGGTCAAATTCAATGCAGTTCAAGAAGTGAGGTGACCAGACACCATGGTTCTGAACAACATATTATGGAAAGAATATGGGGAAGGCAGATCTAAGCCATTTGCTATCAAATAGAAAAACTGAAGGGCAAATTCCAGGTTGGCTCAAGCAAACTAGTTCCCTATCCATTTTCAATTGATGTTCAGAGAACTCTTTTTATAAAAGATTACATCTAAAAGTGCTGCCAGCTGATCATAGGACATTATTCCATGAATATTTCTTATCCTCTTTTCTATTATTAAACATATATATCCTCAACATATTGCTAGGCAGGGATATTTTAGTTTGGAAAGAATATTCTTTTAAAGGATAAAGATTATTAATGGCCATGAAATCTGCCAGGCAATGTTGAGTAGCTTCAGTGGTTTGATGTCTCAGCTGGAATCCTAGTTAACAGACAGGTAGAAAGGAGAAGATGAGTGATTTAATGCTGTGTGGCCCACATCCATCTTCTCAGAGTTGTCCTAGTCACTAGTGGCACCTTCTGTACTCTCCATAAAGAACAGCTTTGGGAAGACTAAGAAGGTGAGAGATACCATAATAGAGGGAGTCGTTAATAGGTTTGACTGGCACTAGTGAGATTTCGGTCTACAAGGATGACACCAACTGGCAAACAAAGCAATAGTGGAGAGACTACCTAAATTGCCCCTCCCTGATAATGAGATTGAGGACTACCTTATATGCCATGCTAGAATCTTCATCCAATGAGTGATAGAAACAGAGGCTGACACCCACAGCTAAACACTGAACTGAACTCTTGGAACCCAGTGACAGAGATGGAGGAGTGATGAGCAAGGGGTCAAGACTGTGCTGATGAAAACCACAGAGACAACAGACCTGACAGGGTGGAGCTCTTAGATCCCAGACTGATGGCTGAGAAGCTGGTGGGGGACTGATCCAGACTCCCTGAATGTAGTGTCAGTGAGGAGGGCAATCTCTGGGGCCTTGGGTGTTTACCATAGAGTACAAATAAACTTTGGGAGTCATTTCCACATGGAGGGATGCTCTCTCAGACTGGACATATGGGGATGGGCCTAGGCCCTGTCCCAGATGAAATGACAGACTCTCGAATCCCCAGTGGAGGGCCTCACCCTGCCTGGGGAATGGTGTGGCTATTGGTGGGGGGGGGGAGCTGGGGAGGCTGGTGGAGGGACCAAGGGAGAGTGGTGGGAGAGGGAGCTAGGACTGACATGTGAAGCAAGCATGTTTCCAATTAAATGAAAAAATATATTGGAAAAAAGAAAACCAAGACAAAATAAAGCAGATTTTAAGTGGCAAGGTACATCATTCCAAAGAAAAAATAAAATCATATTTCATTTTAATTGACAAATACCCAAAGAAAATATAGACACAGTATAGAAAAGTTTGGTCCAAGTTTGAAAATAAAAGAAGAAAAAGCAATAAATATGATAGCTTGTTCCAGTAAGAAAAAAAAAGAAAGATTGTGATCTGGGCACTCAGGGCAACAAGGCACCACCAAGTCAGAAACTACTATATTAAGCAAGAGTATGGTGTGGTACGGGAAAGAAAGAGAGTTAAAATGATTCATGTCCTGTAGAGAGAGACGCATCTGAAGAGGTGAGATGGTGCAGAGAGGGCTGAGGCGGGTGGCTTAATTGCCACCCAGGGCCATGGTGATGTCTGGGCCTTGAAAGCTGCCAGGCGCCATGTCTGGGTTCATAGTCCTGTTGCAGTGATGGTCTGTGTTGATGTCCGTAGCTCCTGACACCACTGAAGGTCAAGAGGAAACAGCTATACAGGGTTGGTCCTGACCCTCACTGGCTGCAACATTAGAGAGACCTGGCCCTATATTTCATCGGGGAAGCATAGGGGATCTGATCCTGTTTACAGGGGTGTGGAGCAGGCCCAAAGAATGTGCACCTGGGAGATATGACTCCACCCCTCATCTGCCAAATGGTGACTTGGGTGGAGGAGAACTGATCTCCCCCTCCACTGCCCAAGGTCATAAGAGCAGGAGAGCTGCCCTTGCAGATACCACTGCAGAATGCAGGGAGCAGACCATGCACCTTGCCTGGGCAGCACAGCAGAACTGACAGTGTCCACAGGGTCAGATGACTCAGCCCTGAAGTTGTGAGTGTGGGAGAGCTGGTCTCACTGCTTGTCTGTCATGGATGGTGTGGTTGGGGAGAGATGTTCCCTTTACCCTCACCCCCTCACCTCCTCACCACCTGAGGCAGATGAGGGAGCTGATCCTTCTCCTTACCAGCTGTAGCACCAAGAAAGCAGACCCTGCTCCTAGCCTGGGCAGCAAAGTAGAGCTGACCCTGTTGGCAGAGACACAGGTGAGCTGACTCAGAGCATGTGAGGATGGGAATGCTGACCACACCTCTTCATCTGCCATGTGGTGGTAAGGGTGAAGCAAACATGCCTTCCTCACCCTGCTGCTGCCCCCTGTGGTGGGTGAGGTACCTGACCTTCCTCCTTAGCAGCTTCAGCACCTTGGAAAGTGGGCCCTGCACCTCCCCTGGGCAGTACAGCAGAGCTGACCCTATTGACCCCATTGATTGGGGTCGGGTTGAGTGAACCAGCCTAGAGAATTCTCCTCTCCTCTGTTTTCTGGTGGTATGGGTGGGGGAGAGAATTCCTCCCCTCCCTTGCAGCCTGAGGTTATCAGACTGGGAGAGTTGTCCCTGACCTTCACCAGCTGCATCATTTGGAAGAGTGGCCCCTGCACCTGGCCTGGGTAACACAGTGGATCTGCCCCTGATATTGTAACTGTGGAAGAGCCAACTCAGGGTGCATGAAAGAAGCCCATTGCTATATGGGGTGAACTAGTCAGGGCAACACTATAGAGCTCACCTGGTCATGAGATCAGGGGGAGAGCTGGAGGGATGTCAACACAGCAACTACCCAGACCCAGAACTAGGGTCATGAGTAGAGATGCACCTCAATACCCACCCCATCTGTGATCTGCTGGAACACGTGGAAGGGCTGGTCATACAGGCACGGGGCCACAAGATCTTCACAGTACAGGGCAAAAACAGGATTTCCAAGTAAACTCCCAGAAAGGGCCTAGTATTGAGATCCAGAGGCCTCGAGCCAGACCAATGACTCCTTGCAGTGAACACTTGGATGTAAAGATATATGGATAAAGGGGTTTACTATGTGACTCTGTCACACTGCAACCTCCATGATGAGACTTTTGTCCCTTAAATTTATTTTATTTTATCTGGGTGGGGTTGTAAGTGCTGCAGGTTAATGTGAGGGGATGCAGAGGTAGATGGGATCAAGATGCACAGTGTGACAGACACAAAGAATAAATACAAAGCAAGTTAAAAAAAAGGAATGGCTGTGATCATAGAGAAATCCCCAAGGGCTGTGCTGTACTTTGCTTTCAAAGCCTCTTGGAGCCTCACCTGCTTCATTCCACGCCATGGGCCAGTTTACAGGAGTTCAAAATGCATGTGCTATTTTTTTTGTTATAAATCAAGGTGCCTGTCTCTCATCACTGCTGCTATCATGTAAGACCTGTAAATGACAATGATTTACATTGTATCCTATTTCAGACTTAAGGGAACAAAAGGAATAAGCCATCAGTCAATTTTCAAAATATGCTTTAAAGTGAAATTTGATTATGATCATTGATCATTTGGGTAGGAATTCCCCAACCCATATCTTTCTACTGTCACAGATAAATGCTGCACACATGAAATAAAACATCTCTCTCTTTTGTGGGACACTATTTTTATTCATGTCAGAATCTATAAACCCAAGTTAGTCTTGCTATGTATTATGAATATGTGTATTCCTCATATCTATTCCTTTAAAAAGTTTTTTGGTCAAGGGCTGGAGAGATGGATCACTGTTTAAGAGTGTGTGCTAATCTTCCTACTCTTCCAAGGGACCTGAGTCCAATATTTAGCATCCATGTTAGGTGGCTCCAAACCCCTACCTTCCAGGGATCTGATATCTTTGGACTCCAAGGTACCCATACATACATGGTACACACATGTATGCATGCATACACATACACCATTAAAAGTAAAACAATACATCTTATAAAAAATGCCTTTGATTTTGTAGGTCTGCAATAATTTTCCTTCACTAATTGACTACTGTCCAGGAAGTCATCATACAATAACAAAAAATGTCAATTATATCAGAAGCTACCTTTCAGAGAAAATAAAAGAACATCAGGAAACATTGGATGTTGCAAACCCTCGGGACTTTATTGATTATTACCTGATTAAACTAAAGCAGGTAAAATACTAATATAAATTCATTTTATTGCTTGAGCATTTTTTGTCTTGTTGAACACCAAAATGTTTATCAGAGATGGTTTAAGTCAGTTGTAAAATGAAAAGTAAAAACCCACAGACTGTTACTGATTTTCAGACTCCAAGCTAAAAATGAGAAACACAAAACAGCTTCTTATCTATACTTCAGGGTGGAAGGGCTGATCCTATCTCCATTAGTTGAAACAGTTTTATTCATCAACCAATAAGTGAAACATACATTCACAGCATACAGAAGGACATTCCTCCATCACCTCTTTTCTGTCTAAATAAAAAGGTTTTAATTTTAACATAGTAAAATTATATATGACAAAACTGTTATCAAGCAAGAAGTACAGTAACAACATTTAGTCCACTAATATTTGGCAAAATTTAAGGAAAATATTCTATCATCTATCCTATCTTTGTGAGACTAAACTTTTATATGTAACATCTTTATCATAAATAAGGGAAACCATAACCACAGCTATATGTCTAAACTCCATCAAAGACTCCAGAAGGATAATATATAAAATTTAGAATGAAGTAGTTTGGAGAGAACTATGCCCATATTCCCACACAGTGTTTATAAATGTTTGTCTTTATTTAAATGAGGTTGGCCATAAACGGCTAATGATCACAGTCAATCTCTATCTAAAGAAAAGAAATATGTTGTAGAAATGAATACTACGCATTTGTATTGATTTTGTTTATTGATAAAATTTTACGTCTTTTTGTTATATGTATAGTTCTACTCTTGTTTAAGTATTGTGTTTATACAGCTCATTTAAAATGCAATGTATACTAAAATACACATTATAGATAATCACTCAAATAGTTACGTTAGTTAGGTTTTCTAGATATTCAGCGATATATTTCAAATGGTTATGTATTCTTCAAAACCTTTCAAAGACATACAGGATGTGCATTTAAAATGGTTTATTAGGATTTTTCACAACAATGAGACACAATAGCTCCTGCCACACCACCTTGTTGCAAAGGAAGGATATAGTACTCCCTTCTTGCACTTACATAAAATCTTGGCAATTCATGTTGTTTCAGTACTTCCTCCATTCTTTGCATCAAAATTAATTTTCAAAATTTAATAGCACAACTCACTCATTCCTCATAGATGTTCATTTGTGTTATTTCTACCTGTGGCTCCTCATATGTATGGACATGTTTCTTCATAGCTTATTTTCACTTCCTCTATCTATATCCCCAGGACATGGGTTTCTGAGTCAACTGATAATCCCTTTCTTTCTTGATCAGCTGTTAAACTATTCATATTAATATACTATTTTGTGTCTGTGAGATCCAAATAGCTGCCAAAAGTTGTAATTTTGAAACTTTATTATTAACATCAACTCAGTGAGTGTGAAGTGGTACCTCAGGGCAGATTTGATGGATATTTTTTAAATAAACAGTGAACATGGACATCTTTTTAGGTGCTATTTATTCAAATCTTTTTACATTGCATTGCTTGCTGTGTGGAGCTATAGAATTGTGTGTATATCTAGATACTAACCTTTCCATATAAAATGACATGGAAACATTTATATCCTGTACATTTTCCTTTTCACAGTCTTAATTATAACTGAATGTATTATCATTTGTCATGGATGAAGTCTGGTTTACCTTGGTTTTTTGTACTTTGTTCTGAAATCTATGAGTTCAAATCATAGGGAATGGGTCATATACCTATTTTACTCTTCCACTATGCTTCTTTTCAAGTAGTTATATTGCCTTTCTGTCTTCACTTGTTCAAGACCGATCTTTTAGATGGAGCAGTATTGGAACTCAGTTGTAAAAATCTTGGCCATAAGTGTTTGTGTTAACTTCTGGCTATCAGAGCTCTGTTGTGTTAACTCCTGGCTATCAGATCTCTGTTGGTTTTGATGTTGTTTTGTTTGTCAACACTTCACTGCTTTCATCACCGTAGCTCTTTAATAAGATTTTAAACAGTTGTTTTATGTTTGATACATCTGTTTTAATTTATTTTGTAATATTTTGTTTATTCTTTGAGAATCTCATATGATGCAATTTGAACATAACCATCAACTTATATATTCTTCTGTCCACCCTCTCATCCATTCCTATCAAACACTGTGATTTCTCTTTTTTTCCCGTCTTTTCCCATTGAGTCCAGTTTCTGTTCCTTACCTAACCTCATGACTGACACATGATCAACCTACCAGGGATCACACAATTGAAGTAAACTGACTCTCTCCTTCCCAGAAGCTAATCTTCTAGAGGTTGGATTTCATATTTCCTCTCCCCACATTGTGCTGGGTTTTTATATAATGAAACCCACACAGGTTTTGTGCAGGCTGACACAGTCACTTCCAGTTCTTATGTTCATCTGTCCTTTTGTGTCCAGAAAACACTCCTTCTTGATGTATTGATCACTGGTGGCTCTTAACATTTCTGCCCCCTCTTCTCCAATGATACTTCAATCTTTGGGGGGAGGAGTGTGCCATAATTTAGGAGTGAGCAGGTCACAATGCTTTATTCTCTGCATATTGAGCAGTTGGGTGTCTCTGTATTAATTGCCATCTTCTGCAAGGAGAAGTTTCTCTGATGAAAAAGTAAGAAAGTTCTCATCTGTGGATATAGTAGTATATCAGTAGGAATCATTTTAACACTGTGCCCATTAGTTCATTAGACTAATAGATTTGACCACCAAATCTAAACACATTTAACAGTGGCAGTTATGGGTCCTATCTAAAGAAGTGGGCCTTAGATCCAATCAGAAAGTGGTTGCTTGCTCTCATGAAATTAGTGTAATTATTGCACTAGTGGCCATTACTTACCAGGCCAGACATTGTTGTAACTTGCAGGTTCACAGCTGGGTGAAAGAAACTAAGAATAACTTTTCTCCACTAGTAACACACAAATCACATTCCAGCAGCACAAATAATAGTCAATAGGAATGAAGCTTCTTGATGAGTAGCAGATTGATTTCTCCATTTTCTGTGGCTGGAATATATAGTGTCAGCAAAATAGGGTTTTACTGTCAAGTTCTGAATTGTCAGTAACCTGTGGTACTTAAGGATATATATGGCTCTATTGCCTAATGACTCAAAAGAATAAAATCTTTTACTGGTCCTGGGGCATGTATCCCAAGATTACACCTACCACACATTCTTCTTCATATGAATATGATAGGAGGAACTAGAAAATGAATAAATGTTCCCTTTACATTTTTAAGGCATAAAAAACATACAATTGTATATACTTACATGCAGATAATCACATCATTGTAAGAGTTAGGCTAGTAAGGAATTAGGGTGAAATTGAAAGTTATAAAAATCTGTGCCCTAGTCTTTGAAGTCAAAGACTAATTTCTCCTCTACTCTATATTCCAGGATCTTTCTTGGCAACAATATAAAAAATTTAGTAGAAATAATATTATAAAAAACTTTTACAGAAATAAAACATCATGTCAAATTACCTAGATTTAAAGTCTGTACAACTCAGTAAACTTCTTTTATACAGGCAGTATAAGCATTTAGCATGAAAGCTATGGAGTTTTATTTTAAATTTTATACTTTATTTTTTATATACATATATGTATATATATTATTTTTAAATTTAAATTAGAAGCAATGTTGCTTCACATGTCAATTCGAGGTCCCTCTCCTTTTCCCTCCCCTCCTCCCATGCCCTCCCTCCAATCCCTCCAATATCCCCTTATTTCCCCAGGTATGGTAAGGCCCTCCACAGGGTTGTTCCTAGTCTGTCATTTCATCCAGGGCAGTGCCTAGACCCTTCCCAAAGAGTCCAGGGTGAGAGTGCATCTCTCATTGTTGGATGGGAGTCCATTTGTGTACCCAGGATAAATACTGATCTACTACCCAAGGCTCAATAGATTACCTAGGCCTCCTCACCGAAGCCCACATTCAGGGGGTCTTGATCAGTCCCATGCTGGATTTCCCAGGTATCAGCCTGGGATTCAAGAGCTAACCCTTGTCAGGTCAGCTGTTTCTGGGGGTTAAACCAGCCCAGTCTTAATGCCTTTAGTCATCAGTCCTCCCTCTCTGTCACTGGATTTCTTGAGTTCAGCTCAGTACTTAACCAAGGGAGTCTGACTCTGCTTCCATCACCCACTGAATGAAGGTTCTGTTTCCCAGACTCTCTGGCCATGGGATTGTAGATGGGCACTCCCCAGATCTATGTCTAAAATCCATATATGAGAGAGTATATGCCATGTTTCTCTTTTTGTGACTGGATTATCTCGCTCAGGATGGTTTCTTCTAGTACCATCCATTTGCCTGTAGATTTCAGGATTCCATTGTTTTTTTTTTTTTCTGTTGAATAGTACTCCATTGTGTAAATGTAGCACATTTTCTCTATCCACTCTTCAGTTGAGGGGCATCTAGGTTGCTTCCAAGTTCTGGCTATTACAAATAATGCTGCTATGAACATAGTGGAACAGATGCCCTTGTTGTATGAATGGGCATCTTTTGGATATATGCCTCAGAGTGGAGTTGCTGGGTCTTGTGGTAGGTTTATTCCCATTTTTTTCTGAGAAATCTCCATACTGATTTCCAAAGTGGCTGTACAAGTTGGCACTCCCACCAGCAGTGAAGGAGTGTTCTCCTTTCACCACATCCTCTCCAGCATAAATTGCCGTTGGTGTTTTTGATTTTAGCCATTCTGACAGGAGTGAGATAGTATCTCAGAGTTGTTTTGATTTGCATTTCCCTGATGGTTAAGGATGTTGAGCACTTTTTCAAGTGCCTCTCAGCCATTTGAGACTCCTCTATTGAGAATTCTCTATTTACTCCTGTAGCCCACTTTTTAATTGAATCCTTTGGTGTTTTGGAGCCTTGTTTCTTGAGTTCTTTGTAAAATTTGCAGATCAGTCCTCTGTCAGATGTGGGGTTAGTGAATATTTTTTCCCATTCTGTGGGCTGCCTTTTTGTCTTGCTGACTGTGTCCTTTGCCTTATAGAAGCTTCTCAGTTTCAGGGGGTCCCATTTATTAATTGTTGACCTCACTGTCTGTGCTGCTGGTGTTATGTTCAGGAAGCTGTCTCCAGTACCAATTATTTCAAGGGTACCACCCACTTTCTCTTCTAAGAGGTTCAGTGTGGCTGGATTTATGTTGAGGTCTTTGATCCATTTGGACTTAAGTTTTGTGCATGGTGATAGACATGGATTGATCCGCATTCTTCTACATGTCAGCATCCAGTTATGCCAGCACCATTTGTTGAAGATGCTTTCTTTTTTCCATTGTATATTTTTAGTTTCTTTGTCAAAGATCAGGTGTTCATACAGGTATGGATTAATATCAGGGTTTTCAATTCCATTCCATTGTTCTACCTGTCTATTTTTGTGCCAATACCAAGCTGTTTTCAGGAGTAGCTCTATAATATAGCTTGAAGTCAGGGATGGTGATACCTCTGGATGTTGACTTGTTGAACAGGGTTGTTTTGGCTATTCTGGGTCTTTTGTTTTTCCATACAAAATTGATTATTGTTCTTTCAAGGTCTGTGAAGAATTGTGCTGTTATTTTAATGGGGATTGCATTGAATATGTAGATTGCTTTTGGCAGGATTGCCATTTTTACTACATTGATCCTACCTATCCAAGACCATGGGAGATCTTTCCATTTTCTGAGGGCTTCTTTATAAATTTTACACTTTCAATAGCAAATACATAGGTTTGTGTAAAACTGTAGAGCCATGGTATTCAGATTGCTAATAAATATTTTATCAAATTATCACATCCAATTATTCTTAGGGAAACTACAATCAACAATCAGAATTTACACTTGAAAATCTGGCAACCACTGTCAGGGATCTGTTTGCTGCTGGGACAGAGACAACGAGCACAACGCTGAGGTATGCTCTCCTGCTCCTGCTGAAGCACCCACACGTCACAGGTAAGGACCCACAGTGCTCCTGTATGATGATGGAAAGACTCTTCTAGTGTCATGTGTGTTGTTATTCTTAGAGAAGTCTCAGTCCTTCACCTTCTGTGCCATTCGATGGCTGTAACGAACATCGTGACTATGAGAAACAGACTTTGGGTGTCTGAAAAGCGATTAAATTCTGCTTAGTGTCTGAGTTCCCTGAAAGGTACACTGCTCCATGCATAGCCAGGGTACACTCTCTGATGGACATATGTTCTTCTATTCTTTAAAGTAATGTCTTTAGACCAGCTAAAATATTTCAGTTTCCTTTCCTCATTCGGAAGAATCGAACTTTGGGGTGGAGAAAACAAACCTCACCTCACTGAATCATAAGCAGGAAGCCTAGAATAATCTGAGACTTTCTGAGGTATTGTGCATTTTGAGAATTATCAAAAATATTTAGATTATTTAAAAGCATTTTCCATTGATGCAGAAAATGTAGATTAAGGTATTTTATCACTTCAGAAATCCATTTCCTTAAACTTCTGTTGAACAATGATTTATTTCAAGTGTACCACTAGTGTTTCACTTTACATTGTACTTTAAAACAGCTCTGTGTTTCAGCACCTCCTTCCTGTGTCCAATATATATAGCACGACAAAAGCACAAATATGAATCAAAATTTATATTTTTAGGATAAGAAGAGATACCAGTAAGCAGCCAAGAAGGTGTTACCAAATTACTGAAACAAAAGGATGAGGAATGAGAAAACATAGAACAGGAAATGTGATGTTGAAACATAAATGTTAGATGAACATGCATGTAATATGAAAAACAACCTGTGGATCTGTGTCTACAGACCCTTGAAGACTCTTCTTCCAAAGCAATAGAAGTTCAATAGACAACAATGTTGTATACAGGATGCTGGCCTTGTTGAAGTTCTCTCCCTATTCCCATTCTGCAGGTGACCCCTTTCCCGGATATAAGTAATTAAAAGAAATTAATTCAAAGAAGCCCTTTACCTGACACATTGATGATTGATAAGGAATGAGGAATGCATAGGGATGAAAGGGGAAGTTGTCAACATTTGAGTCCCAGGATTCTGCATGTCAGAGCCCTTTCTGTTTCTTATTCCATGAATGTGAGCAACAGGGTCTATCCTCCACATAAAAGGAATAAATCAGCATGTCATATTTTACCAACTTAATAGAAAATATTTCCCATGTATTAATCAGAATGGATTCAAAACATCCACACAAGGCAGACTCACAGAGTGTTAAGTCCGAATAGAAGCATGAAACCCTTCAGGGATATCCCTTAGTCACATGTAAACTGTTCTCACCAAGACTACACCATAATTCTGCAGATCAGCTGGCTTCTTGTAAGTTCACAAAATCAAAGGCAGATTGGAACTCTAGGTTTGCCATGATTTTTATCCAATTTTCCATTTCTTCATGATACTTGTGAGAATTTTTCACCCTAATATCTGAGGTAAAGTCACAGGAAGTCATGGGTTCCAGGAATCTAAATGGCTCTTGTGAGAAAGTGAGAGTATCAGAGAGGTTGCTGGGTACCAGGTCTGGGAAGCTCCCAATTCAGTATTTACCATGTGATTTTTTGTAGGGGTTTCACAAAAAAGTGAGGTATGAAAGAGAAACAACTTGCAGTATAATGCTCCTTTTAATTGAGCATATATTCCCAGCATTTAAAAATACCTAGTTAAATTTCCAGTATAATAGTAAATAAAGAAATGGAAAATTACAAAAAATAAAAATGTATCCATTTATCAAAAACTGATAATAATGGAAATAATTATACTTTTCATAATAATGCATACTATTTATGTAATTGCAATTAATCTAACAATGGATATTGTTATGACAAAGTATTAAAATCCAATCTGTTATTTTACACCTTTTCATTGAAAATGTTTTTTCTTTCATAATATGCTAGGATTATGTTTTCCCCTCCTTTTATCCCTTCCTGTTACTTCCTGTCTTCTCTCACATCCAGATGCCCTTGTTTTCTGCCTCTCATTAGGAAGCAATTAAGTTTCTAAATAATAATAATATATAATATAATATAATATCTATAACATGATTCAAGAAAAGACACATCAGAAGTGGACAAAACAAACATAGGAAAAAAACACAAGAGAAAGCACAGGAAACAGACACCCATTCATTCGTAATCAATGAATCTCATAAAAGCACTAAAGTGGAAACCGTACTATATATGTGAAGGACCATGCAGACCGACACAGTCCCTATGCATGTTGCCTCAGTCTCTGTGAGTTCATAAGTCCTTTGATTATTTTGATTTTAGATGGCTTTGTTTTCTTAATATCCTCCATCCCCTCTGGTACTTACACTTTCTACCTCCTATTTCAAAGGGCTCCCTGATTCCTGAGGGGAGAATTTTGATGGAGACATTCTATTTAGGGCTAAGTATCCCGAGGTCTCTCACACTCTACATGATGTCTGGCTAAGTGTTTCTGTTGCCATAAAGTGCAAGATAAAGCTTTTCTGAAGATGGCTGGGAAAGACACTGATCTATGAGCATAGCAGAATGTCTTTAGGAGTCTTTAAATTGCTATGTTATTGTTGTTATTTGTTTTTCACTTTTAGAAAAGAACTATTTGGATTTACCATAGGTTTCTGGGCTATCTAGTATCCAATTATTGGCCAACAAAGCATTTTCAGGAGTGGCTTTCATACCATTGGGTGGACCTTAATTCAAATCAGTTCTTGGTTGGTTACTCTCACAAGTTTTGTGCCACCATTTCCATAGCATATCTTGCATGCAAGACACCATTGTTGACCAAAGGGTTTGTGGCTGAGTTTGTGTGTATGTTCTCTTTTGATAGCATGTAGAGTGTATTAAGATGATGGAACATAGGGGTGAAGGTTCTATGTAGGCATCAGATTGACTTCTCCATGTTCACAGAGTTGTGTAGGTGTTGCTTCAGTAATGGGATCTTGCTGTCTGTGGTGAGCAAGACATTGTGTTGGCCACAGCCTTGGTTGTTTGGACATTTTATGGAGTGCTTTTGACCAATAATCAATTAGATGTAACCCAACCCTAGTACTAGAAGATTCATTTGATGACAAAGGATGTTCAGTTGGGGCTCTGTCTCCTAAATATTTGGCTATTTCATTTAGGTCATCTTCATATATGTTTCAAATGTGTATTTTGGAAGTTTTGACTATATTAAGATTCCATACTATCCCTCAAATGGCCTAGAATTTTAACTGTCTCTCCTCGTATTCCCTCCTGCATTCCTGTCTCTCCTTCCCACTTAATTCCCCTCATACAACGATAATTATCTATTCTACTTCCCCTTCCTGGCAATATCTATTTGTTCTCCATAGTCCCTTACTTATATATAACCACTGTGGTTCTACAGATATCAGCTTGGTTACCATTGATTTAACAGGTAATACACACATGTTAGTGGAAAAACCATGTTTGTTATTCTGAGTCCGGATTATATCACTCAGGTTGTTTTTTTTTTCTTGTTTTATCCATTTACCTGAGAATTTCAAGATTTTATTTTTTAATGGCTGAATAATACTCCACTGTATAAACTTATCACTTAAAAAAACTATCCTTGTGTGTAGTGACATCTACGTTGTTTCTGATTTCTGGATATTATGAATAAAGAAGCAATGACCATGGCTTAGCAAGTGTTTTGGTTATAAGATGAATCAACTGTTAGTTGTATGCACAAGACTATTTTAGCTGTATCTTGATTTAGATTGATTTCCACCTTCTTAAAGTATTGTCGCCGGGTGGTGGTGGCGCACGCCTTTAATCCCAGCACTCGGGAGGCAGAGGCAGGCGGATCTCTGTGAGTTCGAGGCCGGGCTGGACCGATAGCCTCCGAAACAATACAGAGAAGCCCTGTCTCGTAAAAAACCAAAAAATAAAAAATAAAAAAATAAAGTATTGTCACTCTGATATCCACAGTGGCTGTATATGTTTGCATTCCCATCAACAATGCATAAACATTCCTTTTGATTCACATCATTACCAGTATGAACTGTTGCTTTTTAAATACTGATATTCTCCATTCTGTTGGGTATAAGATAAATTCTCAAATAGTTTTGATTTGCATTTCTATGATAACTAAGGTTTTCGTTATTTCTCTAAGTACCTGTAAGTTTTTTCTCAGCCTTTTGAGATTTCTCTGCTTATATCTCTTCTCCATTTATTAATTGTGTTATTTGTTTTCTGATATCTTGTTTATTGAATTCTTTATATATTTTGGATATTGGTCCTATATTGGATGTGCAGCTTGTTAAAATCTTTTCCCATTCTGCAGCCTGCAGTTTTGTCCTAATGATGGTGTCTTTTGACATACAGAAGCCTTTCAGTTTCACGAGGTCCCAATATGTTATTGGTAATAAAGTGAGACAAGGGAAGGGTGTATATCTTTTGCGTGTATTTGTTCATATAGATGATGTAGATACAACTGAAGAATCCATTTCCCATATCTGAAAGTCTTAAATGTTGTTCATATGTGGGCATATAAGAAACAGTCATTTCACAAATATAAGTATATTTCAGAAGTAGGTGAAGAGGTTGATCTTCAATATGGGGTGTGAGCAAAATAGAAGTTTTTCTTTAGTTGTAGACATGGAACACACATACTCACATACACACACATGTTCTTAAACACATATAAATTAGAATGTGACTGTAAGAGAATATTGTATTTAGATAGAGATTTATTATTTGACTTCTTATGTACCACAGAAGAAAGCATTGTCACTACATTGTTTTACTTGATACTTTTAAATACTTTTACTTTGTAGCCATTATGGCTAGTAATTAGTAATTATATACTGACCTATCATAATATCTATATAGAAACCTGTAACACAGCATTTCTGCATGAATATATGTATAAATGCCTTTACCCCTGAAGGAAATAATGAGTATTTATAATTCCATGGAACACCTACATTATGCTGTGTATGGCCTGACACCTTGACAACATGTCGTGTTTCTATTCCCTCATTTCTCACTGTGATCAACCAGCTAAAGTCCAGGAAGAGATTGATCAAGTGGTTGGCAGACACCGCAACCCCTGCATGCAGGACAGGAGCCACATGCCCTACACAGATGCCATGATTCATGAGGTCCAGAGATTCATCGACCTCATCCCCACCAACCTGCCCCATGCGGTGACCTGTGACATTAAATTCAGGGACTACTTCATTCCCAAGGTAAGCTTGTCTCTTCTCTGCTGCACCTCCGTCCTCTTGATGTTCCCAGGTTCACAGTGTTGTTCCAGTCCTCTGAGCCACTCAGGGATGCTTGTGGTTTATACTGCTCTGTGATAAGGAGGGCAGCGCTACTACAGGTACAGAGATATCTGGTAATAATGCTTCCACATTTGCTCTGTGTTGCAAACACTATTGGGCAATGCTTAGGTATTTCTGTTTTAAAGTTCAAACATTTTGTCAAATTCGCAAAAGTCTTTTCTAGATTTTATCATCATGAGAAAAGAAATCTTCAAATTGGAAGGAATCCATATCTTGAGTTCTTCAACTCATTAATATGTTACATCATTTAATCATTTATTTGTGATATTGAATTCTTTTCCATGTTTCTTTTCAATAATGTAGCCTGTATATATCTTCTTAGTGGTTTCCTTAATTATTCATGTCTGTCATTTATTTCTCTAGTGACTCTGCTATTCTTTGCATTTTCTTAAGGAAGATATTTTTTAGAATCATTTTGTTGGTCTTATTTTTATCTGTAAATGAATTTTATTATTTCTAGTAATGTATCTGTAAATATACATGGGATTTGATGATGTTATGTGGGCTAGTAGTTTTGCAATGTACTTTTTGTATTCCTGTGTTCTTAAGTTTCTCTTAGGTGTGATGAATTTCAAGATAGTGATGAACAGACCTGTATGCAGTAGGCATCACTGTAGACAGAGTTTTCTACCCTGACTGCCTGATCCCAAATAACCAGCAGCCACTTCCCAAATAAGTGATTGGACATATAATACTAATTGTAAATCGTTGGGCAATATCTCAGATTTGCTACTACTTAACTCTTCCAATTAATTTAACCTATTATTATTATTTATGCTTTGCCATGTGGCTCATGGCTTGTTACCTCCTTTCCTACATATCCTGCTTCTTCAGTGGCTAGCAGACATGTCCTCTGATTCTAACCTACTTTTTCCCATCATTCTAATTTGGTTGTCCCGTCTTTAAATTCTGCCTGGCTACTGGCCAATCAGCTTTTTATTCAATCAATCAGTGTGGCTAATCTTCACACTACGCAAAAAGATCATTCCACAGTGCATCATTTGTCACATTTCTGATAAGAATAACAACTGTAACTCTAATATCTCCATATCAAGTTTGATGTTTTAGGGACACACTGATAGTTGTGTAGATCAGATAAAAATTTTGGGTCTGACTTATTTAAGGATGTAAGAGATACTTTATTCTGGAGCCATTTATGTATGATCATGGCCCAGGAACACAGATTTTTTTACTTTGAGGTAAATTTTATTCTCAAAAGTTTGTCTCTTTTCTAAATTGTTCTCTGAACCCATTTTTATGGATTTATGTATTGTTTCATCTTTGAAGACAATATAAAACTTCTTATTGAGTACCAGATTCTACAGATGAAAAATTCAGAATTTTTATATGAAAATCTTCATTCAAAAAGGATCAAGTTCTTTCTCCTGGAGAGTCTTGTATTTTTTTGGGTGGGGTGGTGCAAAAAGATATTTACAAGGTTTCAGTTACTAACATCATTGTAGATATGATGGAACTAGTTTTTTCCATGTGTCAATGAGTTTTGCGTTGTGATAATAGATTTAGTATATGGGCTAAGTTGCCTGAGTGCTCTTTTTGGCTAAAGGATACTCCTGAGGTAAGATCATTGAGGGGTCTATGGCTAATATGCATAACTTGTTTATGTTTATGTCATAAACTAAATGGTAAGTAGAACTAAGGACAAGATTAGAACAGTATATCTCCTAGTATCTTCCTTGGGTTTGAGGTCCAGTTTGAGGAGAGTGTTGCCTGAGCTAAAGTTACATCACATTTTCCCTCTGTGGCTGGATGATGTTATGACTGGTCTCTTTGTAGTCTAGTTAAGTAGAATATAACATTCTTTTCTTTTATGAGACAACCTGGCTATTTCACAGCCGATTCTCACATCTGACAAATAGGACAAGTGATTACTTTGATCAGAATGGAGCCACTCATCTCAGCAGAACAAAAAAGATAAGAAGGAACCAGTGATCTTTGCTATAATTGTTCTGGTAGATATCAGGATTTCTAGTTCATAAAAACTTTGCTGTCCCTTTAGAGACATTGTCATTATATCAGAGAAGCAGCCACAGGAAATGTGTAAACAAATGCTTATGAATATAATACATTCAAGTCTTATTGACACTAGAAATTAATTTTCACATAATTTACATATGTCAAAAATAAAAGCAATATACAGTAAACCAACAGCTAACATCAAACTAAATGGAGAGAAACTCAATGCAATTCCTCTAAAATCAGAAAAATGACAAGGCTCTCCACTCTCTCCATATCTCTTCAATATTGTACTTGAAGTTCTAGCTAGAGCAATAAGACAACAAAAGGAGATCAAGGGGATGCAAACAGGAAAAGAAGTCAAGATTTCACTATTTTCAGATGATATGATAGTTTACATAAGTGACCCGAAAAACTCTGCAAGGGAACTCCTAGAGCTGATAAACACCTTCAGCAAAGTGGCAGGATACAAGGTTAACTCAAAAAAATCAGTGGCCCTATTATATACAGATGATGAAGTGGCTGAGAAAGAAATCAGAGAAACATCACCCTTTACAATAGCCATAAACAGCATCAAATATCTGCGGATAATGTTAACCAAAGAAGTGAAAGACCTGTATATCAAGAACTTTGAGTCTTTAAAGAAAGAAATCAAAGAGGATGCCAGAAAATGGAAAGATCTCCCATGCTCTTGGATTGGTAGGATCAACATAATAAAAATGGCAATCTTGCCAAAAGCAGTCTACAGATTCAATGCAATACCTATCAAAATTCTGGCACAATTCTTCATAGACCTTGAAAGAACAATAATCATCTTTATATGGAAAAACAAAAGGCCCAGGATAGCCAAAACAACCCTATACAATAAAGGAACTTCAGGAGGCATCACCATACCTGACTTCAAGCTCTATTATAGAGCTATAGCCCTGAAAATAGCTTGGTATGGTCACAAAATTAGACAGGTAGACCAATGGAACCAAATTGAAAACCCTGATTTTAACCCACACACCTATGAACACTTGATTTTTGACCAAGAAGCTAAAACTAAACAATGGAAAAAAGAAAGCATCTTCAACAAATGGTGCTGGCATAACTGGGTATTAGCATGCAGAAGACTGCAGAGATATATGTCTATCGCCTTGCACAAAACTTAAGTCCAAATGGATCAAAGATCTCAACATAAATCCAACCACACTGAAACTCTTAGAAGAGAAAGTGGGAGATACTCTTCAACAAGTTGGTACAGGAGACTACTTCCTGAATATAACACCTGTAGCACAGACACTGAGATCGACAATTAACAAATGGGAGATCCTGAAACTAAGAAGCTTCTGTAAGGCAAAGGACACAGTCAACAAGACAAAAAGGCAGTCCACAGAATGGGAAAAGATATTCACTAACCCCTCATCTGACACAGGGCTGGTCTCCAAAATTTACAAAGAACTCAAGAAGCAAGTCCCCAAAACACCAAAGGATCCAATTAAAAGGTGGGATACAGAAGTAAATAGAGAATTCTCAATAGAGGAGGCTAAAATGGCCAAGAGACACTTAAGAAAGTTCTCAACATCCTTAGCCATCAGGCAAATGCAAATCAAAACAACTTTGAGATACTGTCTTACTCCTGTCAGAATGGCTAAAATCAAAAACACCGAAGACAATTTATGCCGGAGAGGATGTGGAGAGAGAAAACACTCCTCCACTGCTGGTGCGAGTGCCAACTCGTACAGCCACTTTGGAAATCAGTATGGAGATTCCTCAGGAAAATGGGAATCAATCTACCACAAGACCGAGCAATTCCACTCTTAGGCATATATCCAAAAGATGCAAATTAATAACAACAAGGACATCGGCTCCACTATATTCATAGTAGCATTATTTGTAATAGCCAGAACCTGGAAGCAACCTAGATGCACTTCCACTGAAGAGTGGATAGAGAAAATGTGGTACATTTACACAATGGAGTATTACTCAGCAGAAAAAAAACCAATGGAGTCTTTAAATTTGCAGGTAAACGGATGGCACTAGAAGAAACCATCCTGAGTGAGGTAACCCGGTCACAAAAAGACAAACTGTATGTATTCACTCATATATGGATTTTAGACACGGATCAGGATAGTGCCACTCTACACTTTCACTTACAGAGAGTCTGGGAATCAGGAAAGAACCTAAGAGAGATGTGCATGGTACCCCAGAGAAGAGGAATGAGGCAAGATCTTCTGAACAGATTGGGAAAATGGTGAGGGGGTGGGGGGAGTGGGAGCTGGGAAGAAGAGAGGGGGAGAAGAGGAGGAGACTGTAGGTCATGGGGGAACAGGAAGGTTGAGTGGGGATTAGAATAGGGGGTAGAAGGAACCATAGTTAGAAGACAGTTCTGGCAGTGTGAAACCTCTAGTGATCTAAAAGGATGACTCCAACTGGCAAGCTAAGCAATAGTGGAGAGACCACCTCGAATGCCCATTCCTAATAATAAACTTGATGTATATAACCATCCTAGAACCTTCATGCAGTGACTGATGGAAGCAGAGGCAAACACCCATAGTTAAACACTGAACTGAACCCATGGAATCCAGTGACAGAGAGAGTAGAGCAATGAGCAAATTGGCATAGAATGGGTTGGCAAAACCAGCAGAGACAGCTGATCTGAACAAGGGAGAGCTCTTGGACCCCAGACTGACAGCTGGGAGGATAGCATGGAACTGATCCAGACCTTCTGAGTGTGAGAGTCAGTGAGGAGGCCTGGACAACCTATGGGGCCCTGGGGAGTAGATCAGTGTTTATCCCTAGCATACAAATGGACTTTGTGTGTCCATAACAGAAAGAGGGATTCTCTCTAAGCCTAGACATTTAGGGAGTGCCTGGACTCTGCCCTGAGTGAAATGAAAGACTCTAGATATCCCCTATGTGGAAGGAAATGGCGATAGGGTGGAAAGCTGGGGGGGATGGTGGGGAATGCAGGAGGAGGGGAGGGAGACGGAACTGGCATTGACATGTGAAGCAAGCTATTTAAAATTAAAATACTAAAAGAAAAAAGAAAAAGAAAAAATAGTATTTTTAGTTTACAAAATATAACCATATTTGGTTTAGCCACATTCTAATTTTGTGTGGCTATGCTCTGAAACTTTTAGACCATATACCTAGAAACTTTGACATAATATAAGGTTAGTTTGTGTGCTAGTTGAAGAGACCTTTCCAGCATCATCACCCAGCAATTTCTGGGTATCTTCAGAAGTTGTATTGATTTAGCTCTCATCAGATCATGACATTATAAGTTACCAATAATGTTATTTGAATTTTATTTTATTTACTCCCTCTCTTCCCCATTCCATTATTTCCTTTCTTTCTCCCAAATAATCTTCATACTGTTTTTCTGACACATATACATATGTCCGTTTCTGTGTTTGTGTCTGTACCTTCATACAGACAGATTGCATATGTTACTGCAACACCTCTACTCTGGTACATAGCCCTACATTTACTTACTTACCATACATATATATATATATGATAGAGTGGTATTTTTCTTCCCAAATTTTCGCTGTTGTTTTTAATGAATGACCTCCTATTTTGTTCAGACACTCAATGAACTATTCCATCTGGAACCTGATTGGCATGTGAGGTGTGTAGACAGATGTGATGAGCTATAGCGAAGAGTGGTCAGAGAAGCACCAGTCTAATCTGAAGGAAAGGAAGAGGCTCGGGAGTTTTAGTCCAAGTACTCACGTGAAATGACGTGAAATGTCACTGAAGGCACTTTAGTGACACCATTGTGCCCGGCCTCAGACTCCTCCCTGCTCCTAATGTGCCCTGTGTGCTGAAACTTTTGTACTGTTCTTTAAACATTACACCCACTATGGAGCTGAAGTTGAACGACATTATTTTCCTAATGTGTTTTAGCTCTATGATGTTTTTTTGTAACTTGATTTCTATCTGTGGGTTGTTATAGGGAACAACGATAATAACATCACTGTCATCAGTGCTGCACGACAGCAAGGAATTCCCCAACCCAGAGGTATTTGACCCTGGCCATTTTCTTGATAAGAATGGAAAGTTTAAGAAAAGTGACTACTTCATGCCCTTTTCAACAGGTAAGTGAAATTCATTTCCATGGACCAGTGTCACGAGACTCTGGGAAGTAGACTTTCAATGATCAGGGGTACCAGTTTCAGTGTTCAAGCGCTGTCATGAAAAAGAGATTTCTTCCTTATCAGGATATGAAAGTGAGGCTTTGATTGTTCATCTATTGTTCAAAATTGAGAAAGCTAGAGTGTAGACTATTTGTTTTCTTCCTTTAACTACATCATAGAAATAGCAAAGGACGCAGACTTTATTTACACTTTTCTCACTCACCATGATAATTGAGACATCATAATTTACATTCATGTCTTTTTTGCTGTGTCAATCACCTCCTTGCTCTACTATGTAATCACAAGTCTCCAAAATACAGACAATTCATGAAATCCACAAGTGCCCTTGGTAAACACCTGAATGAACAATATTTATCAGTTGGACTAGGGCAACGAGAGAGTCTCCCAGATCTCTGGGTTATTAGGGATAAATCAGCACATTAATCTCTCAAACCTTATGTATTCATTAATGGCAAAAATGGAGCAAGATTCTAATACATGACTTCTTTGCTGCCTCACAATGCATGGGTAATGGAGAAGTATAAAAAGAAATCATATGTAACTATTAGAAGGTCATGCACCATTAGAATACAGATTTTTTCACAGTTCAGAATGCCAAAAGCTTTGAGAGCATCATGAGAAGATGGAGACATTGTCGTTGTGGCAGGACACTCTGCCCAGATGATTGAGAACCCTCTTCCTTCTCATTCAGGGTTAGAGTCATGGATATTGACTCAATATCTTCAGTGTGCATGCTGCCTTTGAATGTGAAGCTTCTGTCCTTGGTTTTGATACTTTTGATAATGAACACTTAATTCCTCTTCCTCAGTCTCCCGGGGAGTCTGATTACAGATGTTAATAACCACTTCTAACTAAAAAGTATTTTTGAGGAATGTAATTCTTAATAGTGTAGGTTAATTGAGCAACAAATTTGTTCCACATTTTTATATCTTCTTAATCATCTGTCCTTTCATGTAGCCATCCTTCTACCAACCTATCCAATAACTTACCCTTCATTCATAGCCTCTTGTGTCAGTTAAAACCACTGTGATTCTCACATTTACAAATGACAATAATAGTATTTTTAAAATTGCCCCCCAGGAAAACGGATGTGTGCAGGAGAGGGCCTGGCACGCATGGAGCTGTTTCTATTCCTGACCACCATTTTGCAGAACTTTAAGCTGAAATCTCTGGTTCACCCTAAGGACATTGATACAACCCCAGTGGTAAACGGATTAGCCTCTCTGCCACCCTCCTATCAGCTCTGCTTCATTCCTGTCTAACGAAGATTAGAGTTTCTGGCCCAGGCTGCGTTTTTTTTTCCGCAATCCCCTCTAGACCTTCAATCCATCAGGGACAAAGTGTCCTCCCTCCCCTCTCATGTATTCTCATTCAATCAAGTCTCAAGAAACACCTGTCAATCATTTTGCAAAATCTGGAGTCACTGCACAAATGTATTTCTATTTGCTATTCTTTGCAACAGTGTTACTATTCCTTGTGCTAATATATATGTGTTCCTGAGCTAAAATACAACTTTACCATTATATAACTAATATAATAAGATAATTCATTGTTATTTTTCATGCTTTCAATAATAAATATATCTGATCTGTGTACTTTTTCTGAGACTAGCTTACAATTCAGATAAGAAATGAAAGAAAATGCAGTTCCCAACACATCATGCTGTTCCACATACTGTGAAGGATAGAGAATGCAAGGGTGAGTGCTAGAGAGATGTTTCATCCACCTGAGTGCTTGCCACTCAAACTTGAAGACCTATATCTAAACTCTGGTATGTGTATAATGGCCAGCCAAGGTGCTGTGTGCTTGTTATACCAACACTGGGGAGACAAAATAAGAGATTCTTCAATCTTGCTGGACCCCTAACCACGCCTACTTAATGAGCCTCATTTCCCTATCTCAAAAAACAAACTTGTCATATCTCAAGTAACAACATGTAAGGTTTACCTCTGACTTCCACATATATTTATGTACATGTACACACATTCTCTCACATATATGTATCTGATTATGCACACACACATATTCACACACCCACACAGACATGCAAAACAGAATTTGAAAAGTAAGATACAAAAGCCCTTTTGATAAACATCACTTAGGATCACTGGAGTAGTTGATGTTTTTTAATTAAATTTATTTATTTAATTTAGAAACAATCTCATTTTACATATCAATTCCATTTCACTCTCCCTCCCATCCTCCGATGCTCCCTGCCAACTCACCCCTCCAACACCATACCCATTTTCCAAGGCCTTCCATGGGTGATCATCAATATCTGTCACATCATTTGTGGTAGGACCTAGGCCTCCCTCCGTTTATCTGGGCTAAGAGATTATCCCTCCTTGGGGAATAGGCTCCCAAATTCCATTTGTGCACTACCGATAAGCACTGGTTCCACTATAAGAGGTCCCATACACTGCCCAGGCCTCCTAACTGGCTCCCACATTCAGAAGGCTTGGTTTGATCCAATGCTGGTTCCCCAGCTTTACAACTGGCGTCCATGTACTCTCACTTAGTCAGGTCAGCTTTTTCTGTGGGTTTCTCCAGTATGGTCTTGACCCCTTTTCTCATCCCTCCTCCTTCTCTACAAATTGATTCCAGGAGTCGGCGCAGTACTTAGGTGTGGGTATCCTTTTTTTGCCTCAATCAGCTACTGGACGAAGTCTCTAGGTTGGCATTTAGGGTAGTCGTCAATCTCATTGTAGGTGAAGAGCATTTAAGGTAACCTTTCCACTACTGCTTAGATTCTTTGTTGGTGTCATGTTTTGGGTCTCTGGACATTTCCCTTGTGCCAGATTTCTCATTAAATGTATAATGACTACCTCTATTAAGGTATGTGTTTTCTTGCTCTCTTCTGCTGTTCCCCCAACTCAGTTTTCCTGATTCCTCATATTCTCCTCTCCCTCTCCTCTTCTGCCCTTGACTTTTCCCCACCTTCCTCCCCTATTCCTCAGTGCTCCCAATTTACTCAGGAGCTCTTGTCACTTTTCCCTTCTCCAGGGGACCATGTATGTTTCTCCTAGGTTTCTCCCTGCTTCTTAGCTTCTCTGCAGGTGGGAATTGTAGCCTAGTAGTCGTTTGCTCTACGCCTATAATCCATATGTGAGTAAGTACATACCATGTTTGTCCTTTTGTGACTGGGTTACCTTATATAGGATGGTTTCTTCCAGTTCCATCCATTTGCCTGAGAATTTCTAGATTTCATTGTTTTTTTTTCCACTGAGTAACACTCCACTTGAGGGGTGTATAGGTTTCTTCCAGGATATGGCTATTACAAACAATTCTGCCATGAACATAGTTGAACAGACATCCTTGTTGTATGAATATGCATCTTTCAAGTATATGCCCAAGAATGCAATTGCTGCATCTTGAAGTAGACTGATTCCCATTTTCCTGAGTAATCAGCATACTGATTTCCAAAGTAACCATACAATTTTGCACTACAACCAACTGTGGAGGAGTGTTTCACTTTCTCCACATTCTCTCCATTATAGGCTTCTTTGGTGGTTTCGATTTTAGACATTCTGGCAGGTATAAGGTGGTATCTAAGAGTTGTGTTGATGTGCATTTCCCTGATGGCTAGGGGTTTTGCTCAGTTTCTTAAATGTCTTTTATCAATTTTAAGTTCCTCTTGTCTGAATTCACTATTTAGTTCTGTACCCCACTTTTTAATATGATTAGTTTGTGTTTTGGTGACTAGCTTCTTGAGTTCTGTGTATATTTTGGAAATCGGTCCTCTCTCAGATGTGAGGTTATTGAAGATATTTCTCATTCTGTGGACTTCTATTTGTCTTGTTGACTGTCCTTTGCCGTACAGAAGCTTCTCAGTTTCAGGAAGTCCCAATTATTAATTGTCGAAATCAGTGTCTGTGATACTGGAGTTATGTTCATGAAGTTATCTCTTGTACTATTTCATTCATGGGTGCTTTCACTACGAGGTTCAGTGCGGCTGGATATGTTGAGACATTTGATCCACTTGAAGTTAAATTTTGTGCATGATGATAGATAAGAACCTATCTGCAATCTTCAACATGTCAGCATTCAGTTATGCCAGCGCCATTCCTTGAAGATGCTTTCTTTTTTTCTATTGCATGATTTTAGCTATCCTGTCAAAAACAGGTGTTCATAGGTGTGTGGGTTAATATCAGTGTGTCCATTTTCATTCTATTGGCCTACCTCTCTGTTTTGGTGACAATAACAAGCTGTTTTCATTACTATAACTTTAAAGTAGAACTTCAAGTCAGAGATGGTGATGCCTCCTGATGTTCCTTTATTGCATAGGATTACTTTGGCTTTCTTGGGATTTTTGTTTTTCCATATAATGTTGAGTATTGTTCTTTCAAGTTCTTGGATGAATTGTGTTGGGATTTTAATGCAATTGCATTGAATCTGTATATTGCTTTTGATAAGATCGCCATTTTCACTATGTTGATCCTACCTATCCAAGAGCAAGGAAGATCTTTCCATTATCTGGCATTTTCTTTGATTTCTTTCTTTATTGACTTAAATATCTTGTCATACCCAATCGGGTTTAACAGACATTTATAGAACCTTCCATCCAAACACAAAAGAATATGCCTTCTTCTCAGTTCCACATGGCACCTTCTACAAAATCATCTACATACTCAGTAACAAAGCAAACCTCAACAGATCCAAAAAAAATGGAATAACCCCCTGTATCTTATTAGATCACCAAGGCGTAAAACTAGAATTCAACAACAACACAAATTTCACAAAGTCTAAAAACTCATTGAAATTGAACAATTCTCAGTTACATCACTCTTGGATAGAGGAAGAAATAAAAAAAGTAATTAAAGACTTCCTAAAATTCAATGAAAATGAAGATACAACATACCCAAACTTATGGGACATTATGAAAACAGTACAAAAGGGAAAGTTCATAGCACTAACTGCCCATATGAAGAAACTGGAGAATAGTCACACTAGAGACTTAACAGCAGACCAGAATGCTCTAGAACTAAAAGAAGCAAACTCACCCAGGAGAGTAGAAACCAGGAAAAAAATCAAATTGAAGGCTAAAATCAATAAAGTAGAAACAAAGAAAACAATACAAAGAATCAATGAAACAAAGAGTTCATTCTCAAGAATATCAAAAAGATAGGCAAACATTTATCCAAACTAACCAAAAGGCAGAGAAAGAACATGCAATGTAACAAAATCAGAAATAAAACGGAGTGGGGGGGGAGACATAACAACAGACACTGACAAATCTAGAGAATTATTAGGTCATACATTGAAAACCTGTATCCAACAAATTGTAAGATTTAAAGATAATGGGCAATTTTCTAGATAAATATCACTTACCGAAACTATAAATCAAGAATATATAAGGCATTTAAAATAACACCTAATTAAATAGAAACAGTCATCAAAAGTCTCCCAACCAAAAAGCCCAGGATCAGATGACTTCAGCGCTGAATTCTATCAGAAATTCAAAGAAGAGGTAAAGCCAATACTCCTGAAAGTGTTCAACACAATAGAAACTGAAAGGTCATTGCCAAACTGTTTTTACAAGGTTACAATTACCTTTGTACCCAAACTACCCCAAGACACAAATGAGAAAAAGACTACATACAAATATCCCTCATGAACACTGATGCAAAAATACTCAATAAAATACTGGCAAATTGAAACCAAGAACCCATCAGAAAAAACATCCACCATGATCAAGTAGGAGTCTCCCAAGGATGCAGTGATGGATCAACACATGAAATTCCATCAATGTAATCCACCATATAAACAAACTGAAAAAGAAAAATATCATGATCATTTATCTCACTACATTCTGCAAAAGCCTTTGACAAAATCCAACACTCCTTCATGATAAAGGTCTTGGAGAGTTCAGGCACAACATGAACATACCTAAACATAATAAAAAGCAATATACAGCCAACATCAAACTAAAGGGAGAGAAAATGTGATTCCTCTAAAATCAGGAACAAGACAAGGCTGTCCACTCTTTCCATATCTTTTCACTATTTTACATGATGTTCTAGCTACAGCAAATGAAGACAACAAATTGAGATCAAAGGGATACAAATTATAAAGGAAGAAGTAAAACTTTCACAATTTGCAGATGATATGATAGTTTTCATAAGCGATCCCAAAAATCCTACCAGGGAACTTCTACAATCGATAAACACATTTAGCAAAGTGGCAGGATACAAGATTGGCTCAAATAAATCAGTATCCTTCCGAGATACAGATGACAAACGTTTTCAGGAGTTTCTCCACTCTATAGAGGACAAGTAACAGGGATAAATACACATGTAGGCCCAGGCCATGCCCTCCTGTGATGTTATCAATAAGAGGTAAAAGCAAATGAGTCAAGACCAGACTAATGAAACCTACAGAAACAGAGGACCTGAACAAGGGGGCGTTCATGGACCCAAGACTGATTGATAACTGTTAAACCAGCATAGGACTGTTCCAGATCTCCTGACAAGATGTCAGTTTGGAGGTCTGGATAATCTATGGGACCTCTGGTAGTGGATCAGTATTTATCCCTAGTACACGAATGGGCTTTGGGAGGCTACTCCACATAGAGGGATTCTCTCTCAGAAGAGACA